AAGCTGACCACCCGTGATGCTCACATGTTCCTGTATGTATTTACCCCCTTCAAAGGTTGGATCCTCAGAGACTGCGGTGGTTTGGAGTCTCAGAAGGAAAACAGCATAGCGACCACAAAGCCTGACCTCCCAGTCTCAGCCTCCAGAACTCTGAGACAACATATCCTGTCGTTGAAAGCCACCCCATTTTGGGGGGTATTTGTTACAATGGCCACAGGAAATAATCCAAGAAGGAAGCTTCTTCTCCTTCTTCTTCTTTTTTTTAATGCCCTCGTCTTGAGGAGCCCTGGGGTGTGGGTGTGGGCAGTTGGTTACGAGTTGGGCTGCCATCGGCAAGGTCCACAGTTTGAAACCACCAGCTGCTTCAGGGAGGAAAGACGGGGCTTTCTACTTCCGTAAAGAGCTGCCGTCTTGGAAAGCCGCCGGGGCACTTCCTCCCTGCCCTGTAGGACCGCTATGCAAGTCGCCATCCACACCACACATCCACCACATTCCACTCACTCCCTCACTTTGGTGGATTCTGATGACTCGCAGTAGCACTGCCATGATTGCCCTGTGGGTTTCAGAGCCTGTAAGTATTTACAGGAGAGAAAGCCTCTCTTTCCCCACAGAGAAGCTGCTGGTTTCCAACTGCTGCCTTTGCAGTGAGCAGCCCCATACCTAACCCCATTGTGGCGCCAATGCCCCTTCGCGTCCCTCTGGTTAGAAGCATGTCACTCAGGCCAACCCAGACACGAGGAGAAGGGAGTTAGGCTTCACTCCTTGAAAGGAGGCACGCTGGTGTGGCACAGTGGTTATGCACCGGGCTGCTAACTAGAAGGTCGGCAGTTCAAAACCACCAGGAGAAAGACAGGGCATTGACTTGAGGACAGTGAGCTTGGTTTGGGGTTTGGGGTTTGGGGTTTGGTATGGAACGGGTCTCCCACTTGGCTCCTCCAGCTCGCCGAGTGTGGCTCAGGAGCAGGGAGGGAGGCAGAGAGAGAGTGTGTATGTCCCACCTCCAGGGAAAAAGAAAGGAAGTTTCCAGAGTCCTCATGAGAAGGCCACGCCCACAAGGAGGCATCATTAGGCTGTGACCTGATTGACAGGCGAGACTCCACCCCTTCACTCTTCATACCCTCAAGTTGGCATGAGTTTATGTAACTACCACACCGGCCTCACACACTCCCCTACTGGTTAATATTATCAGTAAACAAGTTGCTGTCAAGTGGATTCCAACTCATGGCCATCCCTGCGCTGCCTGGATTTTCCAATGGCTGGTTTTCAGGAAATGTGGTAGTCACATAATCTGGTGTCAATTTGGGACTTGAGAGGATTAAAAGTGAAGGGGTGGAGTCTAGTCTGTCAATCTCAGGTCACGGGCAATGAAGCCTCTGTGGGCATGGCCGTCCCCTGAGGATTTGGGGAAAACTCTGGTATTTCCTCCTTGGAGGCTGGGGAAACTCTCTCTCATTACTTCACTTCCTTGAAGACTCTCTACTGACAAGGCTAACTCCCTGAGAGACATCCCTGAGAAGCCACATGGTCCAACTCTGATGCAGCCAGGACCCTGGACCCGGAGAAGCCACTTGTAGACCCCTGCCCATTCTGAGATGCTTGCAACACCACTGGATCCAAAGACTCTCTACCCACTGGCCTGCGATCGTCCTGCATTTGGGGTCATTGCATGTGATTCGTGAGTCAGAAGAGGACTTTATAGATTGGTGTCAGACATATGGGTTACGACTTATGGGTGTGGGACTGGACGGGTTGGGATGCTTTATATAAAATTCTCTCTTATACACATGAGTGTCATGAATTTGTTTCTCTAGTCTACCCGGACTTACACAAGAAGTAAGTCTCTGGGTCTTTCTTCTAAGGTGCTGCCGCCAAACTAGGTTAGCAGCTGAGCACAATGACTTGCACGACCTAGGATTTTTTTTCTCTAATAATTAAGATTACGAAAATGAGTCCCCTCCATTCCACATCCTACTTTTGAGTATTGGCTGGGCTCTTCAGAGCTCATGAGTGGTCAGCTGAACTGCAACCCTTGACCTCTCCCTCTCTGTTCTGAGCAAAACAAAGAGTGAAGACAATCAAAGACACATGGAAATAGTCAGCCCAATGAGTTAGTAGACCACCAACATCGGTCTCCAAGACTGGCATCAGATGGTGCCGGGCTCCCAGGACCAACTGCTCTGAAAGATCCTGAATGGAAGGGCACAAGGATGTGAAACAAACTTCAAATCATCTTAAAAAGACCAGTCTTAAAAATAATAATAAGGGGGTCCCTGAGTGGTGCAAACGATTAACATCCTCCGCTGCCAACCCGAAGGTTAGCGGGTCGAGGCCAGAAAGAAAGGCCTGATGACCCATTTCAAAGAAAATCAGCCATTGATGTATGTATGTATTGTGATAAGAATTGTATGAGCCCCCAATAAAAATGATTTTTTAAGAAAAATCTGCCACGGAAAACTTTATGGAGCAGAGTTCTGTGCTGACACAAGGTCACCAGGAGTTGATGGCATGGACTTGATAGCAACTGGTATTATGGGATGTTTCACTTTCACCACCCTCATCTTCCGTCCAAACAGCCTGGGGACCAGAACCCTAAATCAATACCAGACTCAATGCGGCACAAACAGCAGACATGAAAAACCCCATCCCAACCTCACACGAGACACTGACTTCTACCCTAATTATTGTGTCAAGGGGTCTCCAGACTTCCACCAGCACCCCCGGTTGCTGGACAAAGTTGTTCGAGGACAGATGAGTTTCTCTAGAACAGTCCGAATAAACGTCATCTACTAAAAAAAATAAATAAAATGTTTTAAAGACCAGGCTTGCTGTTTGGATAGAGACTGCTGGATCCCCTGAGACCTTAGCCCTTCGTCACCCTTTAAGTCTGGAAATGAACGCAGGGCCTCATTTTCAGTTACACACTGGATGATGGGTCCATAAGGTGAACATCAACACCAGGGAGGTACACACACCTTAGCATGAGCAACCAGTTGGGACCCAAAGGGCAGCATTTACCCAAGGTCAAAGCTGGGAAGCTTTAGGAAAGAAGGAGGGCTGGAGGAAGAGAAACGGGGAAACACTGGAAGTGGGGAGAATTGAAATATTATCCTACTGAATGATCGCCTTTAAACGTTTTGTGACTGCAAGTTTGCCAAGAAACTTTTGGTTTTCCATTCCACAATTCATCCACACTTTTAAAAAATTATACTTTTATTGAGGGCTCTTACATCTCTTATCACAATCCATACATGCATCCAGTGTGTCAAGCACATTTGCACATATGCCGCCATCATCATTTTCAAAGCATTCTCTTCCCACTTGAGCCTGATAGCAGCTCCCCCATTCCTTCCCCCTCCCTTGCCGGCCCCCAGAACCCTTGATAAATTATAGATTATTTTCATATCTTACATCATCCTCTGTTACCCCTCACCCACTTTTCTGTTGTTCGTCCCCCTGGGAGGAGGTTATATGTTGATCCTTGTGATTGATTTCCCCTTTCTCCCCCCACCCTCCTGGTATCTCTACTCTCATTGTTGGCCCTGAGGGGTTTATCCTGGATTCCCTGTGTTGTGGGCTCTTATCTGTAGCAGTGTGCATGTTCTGGTCTAATCTGATTTGTAAGGTAGAATTGAGGTCATGATAGTGGGGGGAAGGAAGCACCAAAGAACTAGAGGAAATTGTGTGTTTAATTGATGCTGTACTGCACCGACTGGCTCATCTCTTCCCTGTAACCCTTATGTTAGGGGATGTCCAATTGTCTACAGATGGGCCTTGGATCTCCACTCCATGTCTACCCACCCCCAATTTACATTGGGTATGATTTTGTTCTGTGTCTTAGATGCCTGGTACCTGATCCCATCAACATCTCATGATCACACAGGCTGGTGTGCTTCTTCCATGTGGGCCTTGTTGCTTGTCAGCTAGTTGGCTGCTTGTTTATCTTCAAGCCTTTAAGACCCCAGATGTTCTATCTTTTGATAGACGGGCACCATCAGCTTTCTTCACATTTGCTTACGCACCTGCTTTGTCTTCAGTGATTGCTGATTGCTGCACTTTGTGACATGGAATGCAGTCTCCACAATGTCACGACTCTGTCCACATCCCCCCTGGGTTTACCACTTCCATTTCTCCTTTCCTATCCCTTCTGGCACTCTGAGCTTTATTCCTGGATAAATGCTGCCCTTTGGATCTCGTAGCATTGATTGGTTGATTGTTCTAAGGAACGGACACCTTGCTGCTGTTACTGTCTTCCCCTTCATTTTGAGTCTGTTTTGCTAAAGTGGGGTTCATTTTCTTGCTGGACTCCCCGATTTGGCCTGAAAGAATTAGGGCCTAAGTTTCTATCTGACTAAGAAAGAGACACGGGGCGGTACAGGTATTGCTCCAAAATCCGGACTGTGTAAATGCTGTTTCCCACGCACACATGACATGGATAAATCACCCAGGGCCGTTCAGTCTTTTAAAACAGGGTTTTCCGCAGACTCCGGGAGGCTCAGTTCCTCCCTCTTTGTTCCGCCTTCTCCTTTGCTCAGAATCAGCATTAAGGGTGAAGAACGGTGGCATTTCTGAGAAAGAAGTCGCGGGCGGATTTCCCAGATCTTCAGGGGCCTGGGGAACTTAAAACACGGAAGAACCCGGTCTGGATGTGGAAGGATGGCTTCCGTGTGTGAGGCTGGGAGATGCACACACACAAGGTCTGGATTGTGATCCAGAAGGGGAGAGGGGCTTCGATGCTTATTTCGCGGAGCGGGAATAGGAGTAGTCGCTCCAGCAATCCCAGATGGCAGGTCACACACCCCCACTCCCCCAAAGGCAGCACCTCGGGCTGGAATCGGATACACAGTTTTCCTAAACTGGAGCGAGCCAGGGGGAGAACACGTCCGTCACAGCCTTGCCCCGCCCACCTAGGGCGGTGAGCACCAATTAGCGGCGCGCAAGGCGGGTGCTCGGCCCGAGAGTAAAGGCTGCTGTTGCCCTGGCAACAACCCGGGCTCCCGAAGGCGAAGGCTGTCTCCGAGGGCCGGGCCGCTCCCGTCTGCCGCTGCCAGGACGGCGCTGGGAGAGGCGGAAGGCGGGCCCAGGAAGTCGGCGTCCGTGCAGAGGAGGACAGGTCAGGCTCGAGAGCGAAGATCCCCGCCATTGGCCGCCATCCGCCGCGGCGGGCTTGGGTTTTAGCCGTTAGGCGCGCGCGGAGGGCGGAAGGACGCATGCGTGTCGGAAGGACGCATGCGTTCCCGAAGGCACTACTCAGTGCGCATGCGCCGCACGGAGCTGGGGGCGGAGCCGATCCCGGGAGGCTGGGCTTTGGCGCCTGGGGGCGGAGCCTTAGAACCCCGGGGCGGGGCTTCCTGGGCTGAGCCCCAGGTGGAGGAGAGGATGCAGGGGCTGGGTGAAGGCGAGTTAAACGTTAGCTGCCCTACTGGGCACGCGCCGTTTTCCCGGGGTGGATGGGGTCGTGGTTCAGAGCCTCAGGCGTTTGGCGAATCCGGTTGGCAATCTCTAGAAGGCCGTTTACTCGCTGAGCCACACGGAGGCTATCTGCCAGGTAGAGAAAATAAATACTACCTCACCAGGCTCTGATGGTATGTTTCCATTTCCAGGGCCATGGCGGAAGTGCACGTGATTGGACAAATCTTGGGGGCCACCGGGTTCTCGGAAAATAGCCTCTTCTGCAAGTGGGGTGTCCACACAGGTATTCCCGGCCTGGGCTGCTCTCCAGTGCCCAGAGATGCCCCGCCCCTGATCCTCCCCTTCCACCATCCTCCGGACCCAGCCCAGACCCCACCCCTGCCCACAGAGGGCCAGTCAGGCTCCCGTCTGAGTCAGTCAGTCCCTGGGGCTATGTTTCCTCCCAGGGAACACAGCTTCTAAGGACAGGAGACTTTAGGCTAGATGACTCCACTGATAATCCCCGCTTCCAGTCCTCAAGACTGTAGGCACCGCCAACACCCCTATTTAAATTTTACTTCCTCAGGGGCGTCCTGGGGCTCGCTGCCTATTTTAGCAATAGTTCTTTGGTTAACAGCGTCTGTTTGAGTTCTTCCTGTCAACGTGGAAGTTTTCCCAAGGAGCCTTGGCAGAGTGGTTACTCACCGGGTTGCCAACTGCAAGGTCAGCGGTTTGAAGCCACAAACTGACCTGAAGGAGAAACACAAGGCTTTCTGCTCCCATGAAAGGTTATAGTCGTGGAAGCGTACAGGGGCAGTTCTGCTCTGCCCTATAGGGTCGCTCTGACGCAGAGTCAACTCAACGACCACTGTGAGTTTGCTTGTTTGTTTGTTTGCTTTTGAGTGGACGTTTTCCAGAGGACAACCTGCTCTCTGCTCGTCACCATTCTCTGAGAAGGAAGGAACTGGCAGCCAGCCAAATCCATCCCCCCAGGCATAGCGGGGACTCTCAGAAGTCCCCAAGGTTCATAGCTTCCAGTCAGAGGCAGCCTGGTTAGGCCCCCATTCCACCAAGGCGGAGGTCCTGGGGCGTCTGTGTTCTCTGCTGCTGCTATAACAGAAATACCCCCAAGAGGGTCGCTCTCCCAAAGAAGAGATTTTATTTTCTCAAAATTCAGGAGGCTAGAAGGCTGAACTCAGGGGCCAGGTTTCGGGGAGGACTTTCTTTCTCTGTCTGTTCTGGAGGAAGGTCCTCGTTCTGTCAGCCTCTGCTCTCTGATTCTGGTTTTTTTTTTTTTTTGGATCTCCAATGCTTTTAATGTTGAGGAGAAACTGAACTTGAGATAGCACCTTTGCTAGAACAAACAACAACAACGAAATTAAGGATTTCTACTTGTGTTCTAGAAATAATTCTCTCAGTAGAGCTATAGCTTGTGTTTTACACTTAGACATGGCTGATGTGTTAGTCCAGGAAGACTAGAGAAACAAATTCATAGAGAAACCCATATGTGTATAGGACAGAGCTTTATATACAAGAGCAATTGACTATTGAGAAAACATCCCAGCCCAGTCCTGATCAAGTCCATAAGTCTTATATTAGCCCATATGTCTGATGCCAATCTATAAAGTCCTCTTCAGACTCACACAACACATGCAATGATGCTGAATGCAGGAAGATCACAGACCAGTGGGTAGACAATCTTGTGGATCCAGTGATGTTGTAAGCATCTCGGCACTGGCAAGGGTTTCCATGTGGCTGTTCCAGCTTAGAACACTAGCATAGTTCCAAGCGTCTCCTTAGTAGAGAGCTCCTCAGGGAGTGAGCAGAGAGAGAGTCTCCGCCCCCAAGGAGGAAATACAGGAGTTTCTAGAATCCTCAGGGGAAGGCCATGCCCACACAGTGGCCTCATTGGCTATACAATGATTGACAGGCTAGACTCCATCCCTTCACTCACAATCCTCTCAAATTGACAGCGGATGCTCTCTGTTTCTTCAGCGATCTCCTAGAGGCTTGGTGTCGATCCTGCCCCACCTCTCCGCTGCTGGTTGGCTTGTTTCATCTGGTTCAATGGCCTTCCCTGGGCCTGTCTCCTGAGCCCGACACAGACAACGTCTTCCCATGGGGCTGTGCCCGTGGAAGTGGTGGTGGTGTCAATCTTACTGGCTGAGGGTCTTCCTCTTTTTTTTGGCTGCCCCCCTGTTTTAGCGAGCATGGTCTTCCTCTCCAGGAACTGGTCTCTCCTGAGGCCATGTCCAAAGTACATGAGATGAAATCTCGCCTTCCTCGATTCTTTTTATTTTCTTTTGTTACCCCTCCCTCCACCTTCCTCAGTTCTAAGGCGCATTCTGGCTGTAGTTCTCGGCAGCCCACGGGACTTTCCTGTCTTCTTTGCCAGCACCCTATTCAAACGCTTCGATTCTTTTTGGCCTTCCTTCATCCAACGTCCAACTTTCACTTTCATGTGAAGTGACCAGAAATCACATACATGCTGGGGGTGGGAGACATATGATCTGTGACATGGAGATACGGAGTCCCCCGAGGGCCTCCCTCCCCGGCGGCTCAGAACACAATCCAGCAGGCAGAAATGAACGCAGCGATTTCAGTGAGTGGCCAGTGCCAGAGACGTAGGAAGCAGGATGGGTGGTGTGCAGAGGCCTGAGTTTCAGATGGTTGTGGGGGGGGGGGGGGGGGGGGGGGAATGGGAATTAACTGAAGAGGGAAGGATGGAAAGGAGCCGGCCATGGGGAGATGCAGGAACAGAGCTTTCTGGGCCGAGGGAAGGGCAGGTGCGATGGCCCTGAGGTGTGACGGAGCTCAGCCCATGATCGTGGAGAGACGGGACCAGTAGGCTGGAGGGCTGGGTGAGGCAAGGGCAGAGTATGGGAGGTAAGGGCAGGGAGCAGGCACTGGCCAGGCCATGGACCACGGAGAGAGTCTGTGAGCCACAGGGTGGGCATGAAGGGTCACAGAAATCCCTCTGCCATGGTGCGGATGCCGACTCACGGGGACCCCGGAGGCCGGAGGCCAACTGCCCCACCGGGTCGTCAAGGCTATCAACCTTTATGGAAGCAGACCACCTCCTTGTTCTCCTGAGGAGCAGCTGGCGGGTTCGAACTTCTGACCTTGCCGCTGGCAGCCCAACTCATAATCAGGACACCACCAGGAAGCCAGATGAAAGTCATTGCCTACCATGATGAGCAGAGCATGTAGGGAGTTCTCAGTGCATCCCCCCTCCTACCCCCCTTTGCAGCGCTCCGATGGCGGGTACTCGGGCCCTCCTCTTAGTCCTTCGTTGAGGCTTCTCAATAGGGGGTGGGAGTAGTCAGCAGGTGACCCCGAATGCACTGTGCACCAGGCACTGTTCTGGGCGCCTTGTCTGGCATGGCACATCTCGTCTTCTCGAGAAACAAGGAGGAACGAGTTCATATCACAACCGCGTTACAGATGGGAAGACGGAGGCAGAGAAGGGTAACTGGCTGCAGGTCATGGGCAGGAAGAGTTAGTGGGGCTGGAACCCAGGCATTTGATGTCAGACTGTGCTTTGTAACCCCTGTCCTCAAACGCTAGGGAGAGGCCAGATCCTACAGCCAGCACGGTGTCACTTCTCCCTGCCCCCCTCAGTGTCCCCGGCTTTTCCCACAGGGGCGGCATGGAAGCTCCTGTCTGGCTTACAGGAGGGTCAAACGCAGGTGGACACGCCCCAAGTGGGGGACATGGCCTATTGGTCCCACCCAATCGACCTGCACTTTGCCACCAAAGGCCTTCAAGGTGAGTTTGGGGAGTGGACCCCCACCAGGCTGAGGGGAGGGAGACAAGGTGGGGGAGCAGGGACGGGTAATTAGACTGGAGCTGCTGGGGATCCCAAAATTGAGGGCCTGGTGCAGAGGGGGAGGGGAATGAGAGGAGGCTTTGGGTGAAGAGGCCGAAGGAGAGTGGAGGTGAGGTCTGGAGGGTGGGTGGGACGCTCCTGGGCAGCTTGTCAGAAGGCACTTCTGGGCGGCAGGAAATGCCAGTTCTTGGGGAGGCACAGATAGCAGGCCTGACCTATAAAACCCCAACCAGAACTGCCCTGGTGGATTTCCGAGCCTTTTACATCTTGACAGAAGTAGACAGCCTCATCTTTCTCCCATGGGGCTGCTCGTGGGTTCGAACTGCTGACCTTAAGGTTAACAGTACAACCCACGACACTGCCAGGGCTCGTTGGCCCAGGGACAGACTTGGACAACGTGCCACTTAAGCGAACAGTTTAACCACATCTGCCAGTTTGTGGTACGGTAGTGGCTTGTGTGTTCCTGTGCTGCTGGCCGCGATGCCACCAGCATTTCACACACCAGCAGCGTCCCCCCCCCAGAGTGGACAGGTCACAGCAGAGCTTCCGGCCAAAGAGGCGACTAGGAAGGAGTGGCTGCCCCCGTCGGAAGGATTAGCCACTGAAGGCTAGCTCCGGAATAGCTGCCAAGCATTCAAGTCTGAGGACGCATCCAGAGTGGAATGTTGACGCGCAGAGCGTTTCCTGAGCGCCTGGCCAGCGTTAGGTGTTGCCAGGACGGTGTCGAGGACTGGGCCCCAGCCCCGTTCTCGCAGGGCTCCCCATCCTGTGGATGAGACGATCACAGCTCGGGGGGGCTGGATGGTGGTCCTGGGGGTTGTGGGAGCCCAGAAGAGGTGCCTGGCCCCGTGAGGGAGATCCGGGAGGGCTCCCTGGAGGAGGCGACGTTGGCGTGAAGGGGGCGTTAGGAACAACGAGGCTGAGGCCTGGAAGAGGCACAGAGAGCTGGAGAAGGCTCAAAGGAAGAGGGGCCAGGGGCACTGGAAGGACTGAGGGAGCGGGGGAGGGCAGTGGGGCTGGGTCATGCAGGGCCTCCAGTGCCAGGCTGGGGAGGCACGGGAGCCTGGGCAGGTGATGCACAAGTTGGATTTCACGTCGAGTGATTCCTAGAGATGGCTGGTCTTCTGGCTGCCAAGTAGGTGATGAGTTGGGAAAATGAGACCCACAGCTCCCCCCTCCGGTGTTGACGTCCCCTCTGCCTCCCGGCATGTGACCCTCCTGGAAGTCCTACCACAGGTCAAGTCCACCTCTCACCTACATGGTGACAGGGGCCTCTCCCCGGCTCTTCCTGGTCCCTGGGGGGTCTCCTTGTGTCTTGGCATATATCTCCCCCCACCGGTGCTCCTTTTAGCCTGCCTGTCCAGTCTCTCTTCTATCCCATGGGAGACAGACTCAAGACACCCCTACACAAATCCTGCCTCCTGACTGTCAGGAAGACGATGCATCCCCAGATGGCAGTAGAACCACTGTTGTAGAGGCTAGGGTTTACAACACGCATTTTAGGGCATGCTGGGGAACCCACGATCCACTTCATACCCTGCCTCTCACCTTGTCCCCACCTATCTCCCTTGGCTCACTGCTCCAGCCTCCCTGGCCCCACCAGGCACACTCCCCCTCAGAGCCTCTGCACATGCTGTCCCATCAGCTGGACATGCTCTTCCTCCAAATGTCCACACCTGTGGCCTGCTCCCTTCCTCTGCTCACATGTCCCCTCCTCAGTGGGCCACCTCTTAGTAAAACTGCCCCCCCACCTGCCCCACCCTGTCTAATTCTTCTCCCTCTGGCGGCAGCCTGTCATTTTCTGAGTTACCAGGCTCCTTGTCAAGGGTGTCAGCTTTTCAAGGGCAGGGTTCCTGTCTGCTTCGCTCAAGGGGGCAGAAGGGAGGGGCTCAGCACGGAGGATGGACCTCTAGGGCACCCACCCACGGCCAGGCTGAAGCCCACTGGGGGCCGCCGGGGAGGGGGAGAAGGAGGCTCCCAGCTGATGGTGTAAAGGGGATTGCAGAATAAAAGAAGATACCCCCACCTCCAGGGAGGGAAGAAGAGGACAGAGGAGGGCTTAGGGAGGGAGGGGCCCTCCAGGACAAGGTCCAAGGTACTAATCTGGGGCCTGGGGAAGCTGAGATAGGGACATAGCAGAGCCCACGGCCCAGGGACCGGATCTGAAAGGTCTTGATTGTTAGGACCGCAGCTGGGAGCCATGGGAGAGTTTTGAGCAGAAGAGGAACATGGATTTTTTTTTTTGGGGGGGGGGGAGGGAATCCCTTTGGTGCCTGTGTGGTGGGGGATGAGGGACTAAGGAAGTGAAAAACTAAGCAGGCTGGTGGCATCGTGGACTAAGCACTAGACTGTAACCACAAGATCAGCAGTTTGAGTCCACCAGCCACTAGGTGGGAGAAAGATGAGGCTTTCTACTCCTGTAAAGAGTTACCGTCCCATCCCCTCACAGAAGGGTCTCAAGGAGGAGACGAGCCAGTCAGGGTGCAGTATAGCACAGTGGAACGTACAACTTTCCTCTAGTTCTTTAATGCTCCCCTCCACCTCCACTATCATGACTCCAATTCTACCTTACACACTAGATCATAGCATGTACACGGTACAGATAAGGGCTGCAAACACAGGGAGTCCAGGACAGATAAAGCGCTCAGGACCAATAATGAGTAGCCATACCAGGAGGGGAAGGGAAGGTGGAGGGAGAAAGGGAGAATCGAACGCAATGATCTACCTTTAACCCCCTCCCAGGGGGATGGACAACAGAAAAGTGGGTGAAGGGAGACATCAGTCAGTGTAAGACATGAAAAAATAATTTACAAATTATCAAGGGTTCATGAGGGAGGAAGGGTTGCGGGGGGAGGGGAAAATGAGAAGCTGATACCAAAGGCTCAAGTAGAAAGAATATGATTTGAGAATGATGATGGCAACAAATGTACTTAACACGATGGATGTATGGATTGTGATACGGTAAGTTCTACGAGCCCCCAATGAAATGATTAAAAAAGAAAAAATGGAGTTGCCGTCCTAGAAACCCACAAGTGTGGTTCTCTGTTCCGTAGGGTCACTGTGAGAGGAATCCACCGATCATTGGTCATTGCAAAGAGTGTGCTTTGTTTATGTGTTTTGAGGCTGGGTTAGAACCTGGAGCAGTGCACCTAGTGCAGGGGAGGGAGCCAGGTATCAAGGTTGTGGGGTCCAGGTGCAGGCTGGGCCCTGCTCACCTCTCCATTATTTGCTCCCTCCTGTCTTGCAGGCTGGCCCCGGCTGCACTTCCAGGTGTGGTCCCAGGACAGCTTTGGCCGCTGCCAACTTGCTGGCTATGGCTTTTGCCATGTACCCAGCAGCCCAGGCACCCATCAACTGGACTGCCCCACATGGCGACCCCTGGGCAGCTGGCGGGAACAGCTGGCTCGGGTCTTCGTGGGTGGCGGGCCACAGCTACTGCACGGGAACACCATCTACAGCGGGGCTGATCGCTACCGCCTGCACACAACTGCCGGTGGCACTGTTCACCTCCAGCTCGGCCTGCTGCTACGCCACTTTGACCGCTATGGTGTGGAGTGCTAAGGGGCCCTCCTGTCAGTATCTGGCCCCCTCCCCGGCCTGGATACCTGGTGAGGAGCAGGATGGCGCAGTGGTCAGGAGCATGGGGCCTGGAGTTCAGCCTCTGCATGTGTGGCAGGTCTCCAGAGGGACTTCAAAGCCTGGGGTTGTGCCCTTTGGCCTCAGCTTTCCTCTCTGTAAAATGGGGGCTGTGGGGAGCAGCATGGGGCTAACATGGGGCATGTCAATAAAGGTGCTTTCAGGGGCCCCTGGCTCCTGGAGTGTTATATGACCTGTGCCCCAGCATCTGGCAGCAATGCTTCCCCTCTAACTCCCATTCCACCCTGCAGCCCCCTACTATGAGCACTTCTCTGGATACCTGCCACTGCCCCCCTCTCCCACACCTCTGGCTATCCCCTGTCCCCTCTCTCCTTTGGATACCTGCATTTGCCCACATGCAAACCCCCCACCTATCCTCTGACTGCCCCCCCTTCTGGATACCATGACCCTGACCCCCCCTCACACTCGTCTATCTTCTGATCTGCTCTTATAACCCCACCTCTAACCCCCTTCTCCCACACTCCTATCCTCTGACCCCCCACACCCCCGCCTCCTAGACAACCTGCCTTTGACCTCCTCTCCCACACGCATGTCTATCCCCCACCCCCTCTGTCCTTCTGGACACCTGCTTTGGATGCCCGCCCCCAAACTCCCACCTATCCTCTGACCCCCCTCACCTAGACACCCCTCCTTTGATCTCTCCCACTGCCCTCTCCTTGTGGACACTTGCTCACCGTGGCCCTACCCTTTGGCTGACTCACGCCCGTCCATCTTTCTGCATCCGCTCCGGGTGCCCCTCCTCTGAGCCCTGTGTCCCCTCTTTCGATCGAGCCCTTCCCAGGAGTCCTCATCCTCTGTGACCCCGGACTCCGGCCGCCAGGAGGCAGCACCCCGCCTGTGGGGCGGAGCCGGGTGCCGCCCCTTCCCCCCCGGGGTTGGAGGGACCCCCCTCGTAGCCCGCCCACGCG